GGTATTGATCAATTTTAAGAAACACTAGTATAATTGATTCAAATGTCTTTGTTATGAAATAAAACTATTAATCTCAGGCTGGTGAGGCTTTTTGGGAGGTCCTCCGAGAGCACAGATAATTAAGACATATTTTCTAATGTTAATTAACACCAGATTATTTTATGTTTCTTGCTAAGGACAAATTTTTTTTTATGGCAGCTGTTCTTATACAATATTGTGTTACATCAAAAGCCTATGGGGTTACTAACTGGGTAAACTTAAAGACCTTTAAGTTCCCCCCAACCTTTCACACATCCTCCCACCACAGTGCCCTTGCACATGCTGCTTTCTCTGCCCAAATTCTCCTTCTTCACTTCTTTTTTTGCCTAGTTAACTACTTCAGATTTAACCCGCAGGCCTCAGCTTGATCATTACTTCTTCAAGAAAGACTTCCTTTCCTTTGCCCATTATTTCAGCTATACACTTTTAATAACATGTACCTTTTGATTGTAAAACCTACCACAGATGCAATTCTACACAATGTGTATGTTCTAAATATCAGATTTTTTATCTCTTTAGAGATACAATAATGAACTATTGGTCTCCTGTCCCTGATGACTCACGTGACTGGTGACAGGTTGAGATTGTCATTTGTGTATGGGCTCCTGCTTCTGTGTTAGGCACTGGGTGACAGAAATTGAAGACCCTTAAATTTGTTCCCAGCACTCAAGGAACTAATAACCTGATCAGAAAGATGTGGCTAAGACATATTAAACTATTGCAGAGCAACCAAGTCTTTTTGCAAGACTGAAACTTCTTTGGTTTCATTTTTTCCAAGGAATGTTTTCTCGTTTTAGTCCATGTCTGATCTATATGCTTGTACATGAAAGCTGAAGCAGCTTAGAGTGTGGAGTAATATCATTAGAGAAGCAGAAAGAAGCTTTGACAAAACGGAAGACCAATAAAGATGAAAGGGAAGAAATAAAAACTGCAGTTTGCCATGTCTCTCAGAAATGTTCCATATTATAGTGAGCGGCAGTGGGTCATAGTTGACCAAGTTTCTTGTCAATAGTTAATGTTTGCCCTGGCTTTTAAAAGCATAAGAGAGGAAAAAAACACGCAGTTAGTAAATTAGGGGCAGAATGTTAGACTACGGCAACTCAGCCAAAAGAAAAGGTGGGCTCCAGTTATAAACCAGTAGAATCCTTAATAAGTAAAAGCACTAATTGTGCGGGAGACAGAATAGGGTCCAAAGCATAAACTCCATAAGCTCATTGAATTCTTCAGGTCTCCCAGGCCCCACCATATCAATGTTACTAGAAGTAACATGTTTCATTCCCAATTTACAGATGACACATCCGTGCAACAGCTACAGACCTGTCCCTAGCATGGCGATGCTCACTGCTATTGTCAGGAGAGCCATTTTAAAAAGTAAAACGAAACACAAAACTCTAAAAGAATCCATATTTTTGAAGAAGAAGGATGGGAATAAATTATAAAATGATAGGGAACTGAACTAAAAGTTCCTCTTCCTCAATATACTGTTTCTACCTCTCACTTCCAGAATTCTTTCTCTTGTCACTTTTCATACTCCAAAATTTTATTACGGAAATGTTCCTTTGAGACCACAGAATACTGTTTAAATTGCATGTGTCTTTGGAAATGTTGATAGTCTTCCACACATGAGTGTGAATTAGTTTAATCAAGTTGGTTTTCTCAGCTCTAACTTGCAGTATACTAAAGGAATGCTGATTTTTAAGAATAGAGAGCAACAGCCATGCAGAGTGAGATAGGGGAACTAAGGCTAAAATGAGGACAGTGGGTACATGGAAAAAGGTTTCAAGAGAATACTGGGGCAGGCGCAAAAGGAGCAAAAAGGAGCTAAAGGTTTTTTTTAACCTATTTTAAGACCAACTAAGACTGGTGTTGAACTCAGCAAGAGAGGAAGAGAAATTTCCTTCCTTCTGTACAGAATGGGGCTAATTGATATCCCAGGACCAGATATCAATCTGGTACCATTACGAACTACAGACATTAAATAGGTGTCTCTGAGTTGACCTTTGTGGGAAAATGAATGGCATTCTAAACAATTTAAAGGAAAGGCTTTTCCAGCTCTAAAAACAATGGCTAATTTTTGGTTGATTGAACCATGTGAAATTGCCAATTTTCAAGTGACTGACAGAAATGGCAGTGTCATCTGGATTAACCAAAAAGTTGATAAATCGAGACTTCCTGAATTTCTTACCTGAAATCCCATCACCAGAATGAAGAATTTAATGTAGCCATTAGCTACACTGTATAGGATTAAAACAAACCCCAAAAAACAGAGTTTACTAGTTTTGAAGACATACTATGATTGGTGATGCTATACCATGAGTGATACTGTTAAAAATAGTCATGTTGTAATATACAGTTCCTTAGATCCAGCTCTCTTTGTCCATGTCAATCCATTCCAATTGTTATTTAGACAGCACTCTCTTCTGTAGCCCTAGACAACCTAGGACATCTAAATCCGTGAGTGTGTTAAGCTAAGGTTGGCAGTGGGCATTATGGGTTTCCAGAGAGCTCTAGGTGAACTCAGTTTTTTCTTGTACCACTTAATGCTCAGGAGGGTTTTGCCACATGATTTGGTGTCCTTACCACCACAAGTTTCCTTGTGCTACAAGAGAATACTACTTTCAGGTTTCCTTTTCTATTCCAAAATATAATAGTAATGTAAAAGTCTGGGGCCAGCTGAGTGGCTTGTTGGTTAAGAGTTGGCTTGGGAGCATGAGCTCTGAGCAGCAGGGCCGCTGGTTCAGATCCCACATGGGCCAGTGATGCTGCGCCCTCTACAGCTAAGATGGTGAATAACAGCTCGACCTAGAACTGGGCTGCGGTGAGTTGCTGGCGATGGCGTAGGCTGAAGTGGGGCTGCAGTGGGCTGCCATAAGCTACCGTGAGTGGCCGGCAGCCAGTGTGAGCTGTCATGAGCCACAGTGAGCGGCCGTACAATGGCCAGTGAGTGACTGCCTCACTTGGGAAGAGTGCAATGATAATAACAACATGGGCCAGTCAAGCGATGTCCTCCACAACTAGACAGAAGAACAAAACGACAGCAACTTGTCTGTTCCCCTCCACCAATTCCCCAATAAAATATTTTTTAAATAATAATAATAAAATAAAAATAAAAGTCTGTAACTTGGCATCTAGATGAACTATAAAGTATTTTTCAGTTCTATGGCTTCATGATTAGACTTTAAGGGGGGAAAAAAACCCCAACTATGCTTCCTTTCATGTGCATACAGTTTTCTGTTAACTGTATGCAAGAAACTGGCAACAATAGTAGTTCTTGGGGAGGGAAACTTACTTTCTCCCTTTTTTTGCACTGAGCTGCTTTTTAATATCATGTATTATTTACTACTATTAATCAAAATAATTAAAAAACAAATATAATTTAAAATTTAAGTAGACAAAACATTTTACTTGTTAAAGCAGAGTCCTCCCTTTATAAATATTTACATCCTGTTCTTCTTGTTCTTCTTTATAGCCTTATCATTACTGTGATTTTTAAAAATAATAATTCTTAGGAACTGTGGGAGGTGGAACAGAGATACAAAAATTTTTGATGATGGAAATGGCTATTTATTCTGCAAATATTTTAGCTACATGTTATGTGATAGATCCTGGGCTAGGCACTTTTTCCTTTCCATAACTTCTGGAAAGCTTCTTGTGTAAACACCCAAGCATTTTTTTTCTTTGAGAGTTCTACATGCTTAAAATGCTTCCCATAGATAAGTGGTGGTCTGTTCTCCATGAATGCAGCAATGAGCTTACCTGCAGGGAGAATCACCCAGGGGATTGAGGTAAGTCCCAGGTGTCTGGTTGAGGCAGAAACTACATTGATAACCTGCATGTGAGATAGAGGGTAGCTGGGGGTTGGGGGGTGGAGGTCATCTTGAACCATACCTGCAATATTGAGAAAATAAAAGTTAAAGAGGAAGATGACAAATGGAAGGTGGTAGAAGGGAGGGTATCTGGCAATAGAAACTAGTACAGGGACATTTTCACTCACAAAATTGTTGTATTACACAAAAGCTGATTCCAAAGATTTGTAAACAGAAGTCTGAACACACTAAAAGATGATGTACCACTATCTAATACCCTGCAGAGCACAGGCTAGTGTGAGGTGGTCCACAATATTTAAGGGAACATCAAAGAATTCAGTAATCAAGGTAAATATTTTAATGAAATATTTTAAAAATTAATGTAAGAATGTAGAATGAAAAAGATCAAAATTTAAAATAAAGACAGGGTTAGTATTACTGTTGTTTCTTCAGACATCAAAAGACTGATGCATCAAAATCGCTGATGCTGCAGAAACTTCCCACTCACGTGCTTCTATTAATGGTGTTTCCCAAAAGTTACTTCTCACAACTCCTTTATCTGTAAGCTCTCTTCTGGCGGAAAATCCACTTCCCTTAGTAACAGATTCAGATGACAATCTGAATCACTGTGGATCCTTTCTGGGGCCTTCCCAAACCACAGGGAACACCCAGTGCCTCTTTGCTAAAAGAACACAGAGACCATACAGTTCAAATTGGCTGTTTTAGGGGGTGAGCAGGGCAGGGGACCTTGATACTTCTGTTTGGTCAAGAGTGTTTTGTTTTGTTTTTTTAAATTGAATTTGTTATCAAGATTTTTAAAATCAGGATATTTTACATGAAAATAATCTAAATCTCTCATTTCTTGGAAAAATCAGAAAACCTAACAAAAGTAAGCCCAAACTCTTCCATGAAAGCCATGGGCATTTGCAGCCGAGTGGCTCTCCCCTTCCAGCTCTCTAGTTAGCCGCCTCCCACTAGGCTTACGCATTTACATTTGCCTGTCCCAAGAGCTCTGAGTTTGCGAGCCTAGGCATGAAGGTACCGGTGCAATGGCGAACACTCATCTGCTGGCTCCATTTGTTCTCTCCTGGAGAATAAATGTTTCCTCGTCCTTTCCAATACAGTCTTGCAGAGAGGCTCACTGAAGCAGCTCACCTTTCTACCCGACAAACTTCCCACAAGCCGTGAAACTTGCACTGCCCTCCACACATTGTTTCTCCGTGGCCCTTTGCTCCAGGGTTTCCTCCCAGGTCCAGTGCCTTCCCTCCTCCCCCAGCCCCCGCGCTCTGGAACCTCGGGCGGGTCGCCGGCCCCCAGCCTCAGCTCTCTGCCCCGGGCCGGGGCGCTCAGGCTCGCCCACGGCGGCACTGGGCATGCTCAGAGGAGGCCGCGGGGGCAGGATCGCTTCGCAGGCGCTGGCACTCGGCTGCGGGCGGGCGCGCGGCTGCAGCTGGAGCTCCGGCTCCTGGAGTTGGAGTTGCCGGGAGTTTCCCCCCCCACCACCACCACCCCTCCTTCTTCGCGCGCGGCAGCCGAAGCCGGCGCGGGAGCCGCGAGCCGCGGTCAGCCAGCACCCCGGCCGGCCGAACCTTATCAGGAGCCCGGAGCCCCCGCGCGGGCAGTCCCCAGGGAGGAGTCTCGCCGTCTGGGACGCGTTCCACGCAGTGGCACTGCTGGGGCACGAGCCGGGCTGCACGGTAGGGCCGGGGCGTGGGGAGCCGGCAAGAGAGGCAGAGGCCAGGCCAGGCCAGGGGGGATGCGGCTGCAGCAGCCGCAGCGATTGGGACTCCTGGCGCTCGGTCCGATGCCGGAGGCCGGGGTACGGACCCTGCTGCGGGGTCGGACGAGTAGGCTGGCGGCCAGAGAGATGCTTTCAAGTTGGCGGGCGGCAGGAGAGGGGGCTACACTCCCAGGCGCAGCTGCTTAGGGCGCGCCGAAAGGTACTCGGGTCCCTGGTTCTCCCCAAACCTGGGACCCGGCGTGCGGGCAGGGTTGGGAAACCCGCGGAGCGGAGCAGTTTCCTCCGACAAAGTTGAGGATGGAGCCTTTTATTTCCTCGCTGCCCCCGCGGTACAACAGTCCCTCGTGTGCCGCCCGAGGCCCCCAGTGTGCAGGACCTGAGTGGGTCGCTGCGCCCCTGGGCTGAGCTCCTCCACCCCCTGGCTGAAATCCACGAATCACCCAGATCTTCCCCCAGCGTCTTCTAGGAAAATCCTTCCTGTCCAAGCTGAGGTAGGCTCTCCGGGCAGGCACGGCTCCCTGGCTCCATTGCGCTTAGCTGGGCGATGCCCCCTCCTCAACCTCAGACGTAGCCAAGGGCGCTGGGTTCCGAGTTAGCGCTTGTGGCGCGCGCGGGAACGGAGCCTCACACACATGGTGGGGCAATGTGGCTGGGGTAGGTGGACGGCCGGATTTTTCCTCCAGCCTTTCCTCAGGTTTAGTGCAGCCCACCGATCCCACCCGGCTCATCTTCGCAGAGACAGGACCTGGGGGGGGGAGGGCCAGGTGGAGAGTTTGGGTGGACATACCGTTCCTTAGGAGAGGGCGCCTGGGTTTTATCTCTGCCTTGGGCTCCGGCTCTAGGACTTCATAACAAACCCTCTCCCACTCAGGGACTGGGTGGGAAGGAATAGGGCCGGTGGGTCATCCACACCAAGGTCCACCTCATACCACCAGCCTCCTAAGATCGCTTTCCAGGCGACCCCAGGACCCTGGAACTGGCACTGTGTGGATTGCGAGGGTGTGGAGGATGCCGACGGTTTCTCTTGGCTCCACTTTTTTCACTTCTTGTTTTGAGTTTTGGGGTTTTGCCCGCACACGAGTCAGAGCTGCGCTGTCATAACCCGGGGGGTGGAGGAGCCTCAGCCAGGCAGTGAGCCGCTGTTTGCCTCGCCTCTGAGGCTGCTAGTGGGAATTGGTCCAGAAAGGATTATGCAGCCTAGAAATATGCCGCTCTTTTTTTCTTTTTTGGCTGAACACCTTGGCTGTTGGGTTTGTGTGTTAAGTTCTTAAAGGAGCACCCACACACTGCTCCGGTACCATGTTTTAGGGGCTCGCCGTTTGTGCTGTATGTTTTTCTGTGTGGTTTTTCCTACGGGTAATCTCCTTTGGGGCAGATTCTCAGATGTGGGAATCACATGATGTGGGTACATAGGTTCCAGGGCCAGACAGACCAGAGGTCAAGTCGTAGCTTTACAGGGGATGACTGTGCTGATAGATAAATTGTTAGCCAATCTAAATTTCAGTTTCTCTTCTGTCAAATGGGGATAATAGTGACCTTATCTTTTTTATTGCATGATCGTTGTGAGACTTGGGTGAGATAATGAAAATGAAAAGTGCTAAGAAAACTTTAAAGTGTCTGTGCCTTTTACTCGGTCTTTTCTTTTTTAATCAAACAATTTTTAAAATTATAACAAGACACCTAAGTCTTCTTCCCTCTACCCACTCCTCACCAAGAGGTTTAGCTGCTTAGGGTCTGTGGAGTAGCTGCTTATCTTCTATTTTTCTCTTCCTTTCAATCCATTTCTCTTTTGATGTCCCAGTCCTCATATTTATCGGAGGGAAGCAGCACGCTGTAGATTAGGAGATAGGGTGGGATTGCCTTATCAGTGTTCAGAATTCTGGACCCCCGTTTCAGATCCAAGGCTGATGAACAAGTCAGCAGACCCTGGACTGGAGCTCTGGCTTAGCCTCTAACAATGACCTTGAACTAAGGACTCAACCCCTCAGTGGGGAAATCAGTCTATGAGGTTAAGAGTCAATGCTGATCCGAGTCAAGAACAGGTGCGATTGTCTCTCTCTCACTCAGTAAGGGTTTCATCAGGCTCCTCCTGATGCCCCCGCCTCTACCCCCACTCCACCCTGAATGCGCCCTAATCCTAGGGCAGTGGTTCTCAAACTATTAGAGTCACCTGAATTACACCCATAGAATCACTGACATGGAGTGAGAGAAAGAGAAGTGAGGTTTGTTGTGAAATACCATTATTTTAATATCTCATATATAGAGACAGGATGTTTTTGGAACTTGCCAAAAGCATTTTATATTTCCAATACCTGTGCCACTTACCATTGTCCAGTTTTAGTCATTCTGATTGCTCTTCAAATGAATTAATTTTACACAGAAAAAGATAAGAGCCCCCTTCTTTTTTGTACTGTAAAGTACTGAGTCTTTGGTTTCTGGGTCACTTTTGGGTAGACTGAAATTGGTGATCTGGTATTGATAAATTCAATACCTACCCTATTTCCTTCCTTTGCGGATCTCAGACATTTGTGGAGAGGAGGTTGCATAAGGTTCTGGCAGCTTGAACCTTAAGATTGGAGAACAGGTTGAATCACTTATGAGCAAGTTTAAAAAGAATTTGCAATGTGCTGCCTTCTATGAATGGACAACTTCCCCAGTCCTCAGGGGGAGATGAAGTACATCCGGTGACAGATGTCCCATGGTGGTGAGATCTGGTGAGACCTGCTGAGATCTGAGACCTTCTAGAGGTTGTTGGTGGTGGCAGTGACTGAGATCCTGTCTCACTCTCTAAGGGGGAGGAAGGCTGACTTTCAGGGACAACTGTGCGGTATCAGTGTTGCTCCATGTAATTTAGTTTATCATCGAGCAGTCTTTTGGCACAACCCAATCTTCAGCTGTTTTCCTTGTCCCCTAAGCTATGGTCCTGGCTGAGAGTTCATCATGACTTATGATAGCCTAGATTGTGGCCTTGAATTTTAGCTCTTTCGTATCAAAGAGGCTTCAGGAGTCTGCTTGAGTCAGGAGGGTTCCTGAGATGACAACCTAAGGCAAGAATAAGGTTTATGTAGCACCAAAATGGACTAGGTATAAGAGGAGTCAACACTTTAACTAGTCTTGTGTTGCTGTACCAAATGGAGTCCCAGCTGACCATTATGCTTTATCTCATCTTTTCATTTGTGCTTTGTTTTAGTTTTAAAATGATTAGCACTAGAGGAACCTATCAGTAAATCAGAAACCTATTCAAAAACTCAAGTGTACCACTTAGTGCTACAGTAGATACAAGTGCAAGGCCCATGTCTGTCTTCCTGACTGTAATCAGCACTTTGGGTTGTAATTCTTAAGATTCACTAGCTAATTTAAATGGTTTCTCCTATGAGTAGGGATCATTTCTATTTTAAAATTCTTTCCCATAACTTGATGTTTATATTTTGGGGGTTACCCATACTTTTTGCTGCTAGGTTTTTTTTCCAGTGTGGGGGAGCTTCTTTTCTTATCACTGTTGTTCCCTTTTCCCAGGATGTGACCACTTGATATCGTTCCTCCCTTGAATGATTGTGAGCAGATCATTCTGATACATTATTTCTCTTTGGTCATCAGGGCTGTTAACACCAGGTTGTAGTCACGGTCCATTCCTGGAACACTGCTCTGCTCAACCTTCCTAGAGGTTCTTTTTTTTTTTTTTTTTAAGCTGAGCCATCCTGCTACCTGGCAGCTGCTCAGCTTGGGCTGGGACTCGAACCGCTGTTGCTCAGAGCTCAAACTCTTAAGCGCGCTCTTAACCAACTGAGCCACTCGGCTGGCCCCCTAGAGGTTCTTTTTTAACTAACACTTGGGTTGTACTGCACTGGCTCAATTCTAATATACTTTTTTTATTTTTCACATTTCACCTTTTTCCAGTTTCAGAAACCCAGATGGATCCTAAAATTATGAACACATTTAATGTATGGTTTCGTTTTCCTTTTTTCTGTAACCTGGCATGTTAAAGAGAGTGACTTCCAATTGATGGCATTCTAAAACAAAGCAAGTTTGGTTGCTTACCCCAAAAGATATGGTTTCTACCTAGTGCTGTCCCACTGATAGAAGTGAGCAGCAATTGAATTAGCTCAGCAGTTCCCAGAGTATGTCGGAAGAATGATTTCGGAGTGGATGTTAATAGGCGTGCTCTTGTAAAGGGCAAATCAATTGGGAAGCACTGCCTATTATTTTTCTCTCTCTTAGAGATTCTCAACATGTGCACCATCATGTCAAAGACTCTGAGAAGTGCTGCACTTAACAATACCAGCAACCAAAAATTCAGTTATGTTTATTCAGTTAAACATTTCCCAGAACACAGGACATTTCTGAGGTTTTGTGTGTGTCTTCTAGGACTCCATTACTGAATTCCAACGATTCTAAGAAGTTGTGTAATGCCATCTGTGGATAGATAGGGAGGTTTCACCTATTATATCCCTAAAGGAAAGGGGATTTGTTAAATATGGGTACTAATTGATGAATCAACTCTATAGGTGATTACTGATTTTTATTTCAGAGTAGAGAGAAACATTTTTAAGCTATAGTAGCTAAGAAGGTCTCTATGGAGGGGCTATACTATGAAAATGCTATAAGTGATGGGTAGCACTTTGGTAGAGAGGAGAAGGGATGTTTTAGCTTGGTGGTGTAATGGAGTGTGAAGACTGGTACTTGTACCTGCATATAAGTAATTTTCAGAGTGCACAAGAAATGGACCGTGCCTAGCACAGAGTGAGACTGAGTGAATCAGTGGTGGTCTAAGAACCTATTAAGTTCTTCTTGATTCTGTAAATTCACTGAAGTAGCAAATAAGTTCTTGTGACCACAGTAGATGTGGACAAATAAGGGGAGGCACAATACCCAGGTTGAAAACAAGGGGCGATGCATGAGACAGGAAGGGAGAGAGAACCGGTTCCTAGGCCTTGAGGATAGTGGTTCCAGGCACAG